AAAAATCCTGAGAGCCTGCCTGGACCAGTCCAAAACTTAGGACCAGAAGAGGGGAAAGAAAAGCCATGCCTGACAACAGAATTGGTCTCAGCAGTGATTCCCTTCCCTGCCACCCCCAAAATGTGAAGTATTTCACGAGACAAAATCTCCCAGACGAATCCACTATTCATCTATTACACACAATAACAGTACAAAATAAGACGCTTACTTTAGAAAATGTGCACAGTCAATTAGTTCACAAAGTTTCTCTGTTTTCTTATCCCAAACTTCCACAAAATGGCTGTTTTTCTTAGCCAAGTAGATGGATTTGTCTACTGCTATTGAAATAATGTTTGCGTCACTGTAAGCCTTGTGACAGAATCTAAGAAAGAGGGAAAAAAATTAAGCGTACACTATATTCCTAATAGGTAAGCTCTGCCTACAATTACAGACCCATGCAGCCTAAAAACAAAGTGGGCCTGGATCAATTTAAAAATAAAGGATCGGATCTGAATGTTTACAGTCCGTGGAGTTACACCAGTACAAAAACATTTAAAGTGAGATCAGATCCAGGCCTATAATGTAACTATTGGTTCAAGGTATGGGAAATTGTAATGTGCCTGCTCCTGCTCCCAACAAAGTCAATGGATGTTTTACCACTGAATTCCATGGAAGCAGAACCAAGTCCAGTATCTATTAACAAATCTTCCCTAAACATATTTGTCAGGTCACAACAGAGCAAACACCACTTCTTTCTATTCTAACAAAGGGCCAGATCCTGCAAGCTGCTAAGGACTTTTGACTTCTTTTGGAGAGCTGCTCAGCACAACAAAAGACCAGTCCCAAAACGGGGCCAGCCTGATTCTGCCCAGTCTGCTTTGCCTCTGTTTTTAACTCTAGTGACAATGTTTTTGATTACTTAGTTATTTGAATCTCCTACAAATCCCATGATTGTGCAAACTTTGATCATAATATCTCTGCAATTTGAAAAGAGCATCCTTCTGCCTCACTGATTTGGGGCGAGGACTGTATGCTCAACAACTTCAGCCTCACAGTCTGATATATGAATAAGACCTTTGGTATCTTCATCACAATAAAATTATAGCCTTTTAAGAATTAGTGGTGAGGAATCATATGCAATGTATGTATATTGGGAAAAGACGTAAACACATACCTTATAACTATATGAATATATACGGTCAAATCCTAAGCTCAATGCATGTAAATGGCTCCCAATGAAATAAATGGGAGTAGAGCAAATTCTTCCCATGTGTGCCTTTGCCCAATAGCATTTCTATATTCATAGAACATAGATTTACTTCCTACCACATTTGTAAAATAAAAATGCATACTACTTAATGTTTGCTTTAAAACTAGAACAAATATATTAAATATCAGTTGATCTTATATTCTTTTAAAATATTATTAAAAGAAAAAATTGGAAATAAGATATTTACAAAGAACAAGCAATAGGTCAGGATTCTCAGACAAAACACTGATAGAAAAATGTCAATGAAAACAAGAACAACCAAATTACATTAGCATAAAAAACTCACAGCTGACTTGTCTTTGTCTCAATTAGGGTTTGAATAGATATATCACCAGATAATAATATGATCTTTGTTCCACAGCCTCCCCAGACTATATTTTTTTCAGATACACATGTGGATTCACTTAAGCACGTAAGTGGTGTGCTGACATTCCCTATAGTTAAGATCTTCAAAGGTGCCGCACCCTTGTACTGTAAGAAGAAATATACCCTCCATTAGAAACATATAGTATATACTTATACAAGGCAACTTAGAAATTGATAAACCAAGAACATATATTTTACAGAACAGATACAGGGCCAGATTTTCTATACCTTTATAAAAGACAGTTTACCTTTTCCATAACTGGTGTTCTTCGAGATGTGTTGCTCATGTCTATTCCGCAATAGGTGTGCGTGCTCGCCAAGTGCACCGGTGCCAGAAATTTTTCCCCTAGCAGTACCTGTAGGGGGGGAGCGGCCCCCCGCGATCCCCGGAGCGGCGCCTGCCTGGCATGATAGAAGGGGGGCTACACTCCCCCCACCCTCAGTTCCTTCTTGCCAGACAACTTCGACAGAGGGGACGGAGGGTTGAGTGTGGAATAGACATGAGCAACACCTCTCGAAGAACACCAGTTACAGAAAAGGTAACTGTCTTTTCTTCTTCGAGTGATTGCTCGTGTGTATTCCACAATAGGTGATTCCAAGCTATATCTGTTGGAGGTGGGTAGGAGTTCACAAGTTCTCAGGTTGGAGTACCGCCCTGCCAAACCCAGCATCATCCCTGGCCTGGGAGACTATCGCATAGTGCAAGGTGAACATAGTGCAAGGTGAACCGAAGACTAGGTGGTGGCCCTACAAATGTCCTGGATGGGGACGTGGGCCATGAAGGCAGTCGACAAGGCCTGTGCCCAAGTCGAGTGTGCCCTCATAATGGGCGGCAGGGGAACCCCTGCCAGCTCCTAACAGGAACAGATGCATGAAGTGATCCACTTAGAAAGCTGCTGAGTGGAAATCGGCTGACCTTTCGTGCACTCAGCCGAGGCGACGAACAGTTGCGAAGACTTTCAGAACGGCTTGGTCCACTCGAGGTAGAAAGCCAGAGCTCGCCTCACATCGAGCGTGTGGAGACGGTGTTCCTCACTAGTCATGTGAGGCTTGGGGCAGAGGACTGGCAGAAAAATGTCCTGACCCATGTGGTAGGCAGAGACCACCTTCGGGAGGAACGCGGGGTGTGGGCGGAGCTGGACCTTGTCCTTATGAAAAACCATATACAGCGGTTTGGAGGTTAGGGCCCTGAGCTCTGAGACCCACCTAGCCGATGCGATAGCTACCAGGAAGGCCACCTTCCACGAGAGGTGAGACCAGGAACATGTGGCCAGTGGTTCAAACGGGGCCCTCGTGAGACGAGCCAGCAACAGGTCTAGGTCCCACTGTGGAATTGGGGGCTTGGAATATGGGTAGAGATGGTCCAAAACCTTAAGGAACCGGCTGCTCATAGCATGGGAAAACACTGTGTGCCCTTGCACTAGGGGATGAAAGGCCGATATGGCAGCCAAGTGTACCCTGATTGACAAGGGCGCAGGTCCCTGGGCCCTCAGGTGGAGGAGGTAATAAAGGATAAGCTGGATCTGGGCGGCTGTCGGGGAAACACCTTGGCCTGCTGCCCACCTTGAAAACCGAGACCACTTCGCCACATAGGAGCGGCAAGTGGAGGGCCGTCTAATTTCAAGGACGCACTGAACCTGTTCCGAGCATGTCCTTTCCTTGCCACCTAGCCACTGAGCAGCCACGCCATGAGGTGAAGTGTTGCTAGGTTGGGATGGAGGAGGCAGCCTTGGTCCTGAGAGAGCAGGTCCGGGCTGAGCGGCAACTGCCATGGCGGAGCTACCGCCAGCCCCAAGAGGGTCCCGTACCAGTGCTGCCTGGGCCACGCTGGGGCAATGAGGGGGACCCTGGCCTTGTCCATCTTTATTTTCTCCAAGGCCCTGCTGATCAGAGGGAACTGGGGAAAGGCGTAGAGGAGCTGGCCTGACCAGGACAGGGTAAAGACATCGGAGATAGGGCCCTTCCCTAGGCCGCCCCTGGAGCAGAACCAGGGGCATCGTCGGTTCTGCCGGGTTGCAAATAGGTCCACCTGGGGAGTACTCCACCTTCAGAAGACCTGGTGAGCCACTTCCGGGTGTAGAGACCACTCGTGCTGAGAGGAAAAATCCCTGCTCAAGTGATCTGCCCTCACATTCCGGGAGCCCGATAGGTGGAAGGCTCTTAGGTAGATGTCATGGGCTATACAGAAGTCCCACAGACTGAGGGCTTAGTGGCAGAGGGCAGAGGATCGGGCCACACCTTGCCTGTTGATATAGAACATCGAGGCTGTGTTTTCCGTGAGAACCCTGACTACCTTACCCTCCAGGTGCAAGCAGAAGGTCATACACACCAGTTGCACAGCCCTGAGTTCGTTGACTTTTATATGAAGAGGTAGGTCTTGTACAGGCCACAGGCCTTGGGTCTGAAAGTTCCCCACATGGGCCCCACAACTCAGGTCCGACACGTCAGACACCAGCTCCAATGACAGGGCCCTGTCCCTGAACGGGACCCCTTGGAGCATGTTGTTTGGGGCGGACCACGACTGCAGGGAGGTGATCACAGAGTTTGGCACGGTGAGACTCTGCCATTCTGTCCGTGGTCTGGGAGAACTGTGAGGCCAGCCAGAGCTGGAAGGGCCTCATTCCGAGTCTGGCGTGATGGACCACATATGTGCACGCAGACATGTAACCCAGCAGTTGCAGGCAAGCCCTCGCCGTCATCACCGGGAACCTTCTGACCGAGTCGATGAGCCCTTGAGTTTCACCATGTAGTGGTTCAGGCCTCACAGGTCCATGATGGGCCTGAGCCCCATTTTGGCCTTCGGGATAAGGAAATACCAGGAGTAATACCCTTTGCCCAGGAATTCCTTGGGCACCACCTCTATAACTCCTAGGTCCAGGAGCCACCCCACCTCCTGCTTGAGCAGAACCTCGTGAGAGGGGTCCCCCAGGAGGGACATCGAGGGGGCGGAGGGTGGTTGGGCGGGGAGGAGGTAAAGTGAAGGGTGAAACCTCAGGAGATGGTGTTGAGGACCGATTGGTCTGAGGTGAGGCACGACCATTCCGGGAGGTGAGCACACAACCGATTGGAGAAAGAGCTTTTCTGGGGGTAGGTCCCTGCTGAGAACTGGCAGGGAACCCCCGAGTGTCCGATCAAAAACACCTTTTGCCTGCCTGCTTGACCTTAGAAGACCCAGGCTTGGGGGCAGGCCGGGATTGCCGTTGTGGGCACTTTCTATAGTTCTGCTGCTTTTTGTGGGCAGCCTTGTACTTTGGGAGGGCGACCTGGGCGGGAGCCTGCTGCGGCTTGAACTTGGATTTTGCCAGAGGAGGGACACAGAGGCCCAAGGTCTGGAGAGTCATGTGGGAGTCTTTCATGCCATGCAGCCTTGTGTCTGTTTCCTCAGCAAACAGAGCCTTCTCATCGAAAGGGAGATCCTGCATTGACGACTGCGCTTCGCTGGAGAGCCCAGAGAGCAGAAGCCATGACGCCCGTCTCATGGATACCGCTGAGGCCATGGACCATGCGGCTGTGTCCACTGCATCTGAAGCAGCCTGCAGGGATGCCCTTACGGCTGCCGCCCCTTCCTCCATGAGACCCTAAACTCCTTCTTATCGTGCTCCTGGAAGGAGTCCTCAAACTTGGGGAGGGTTTCCCAGAGGTTAAACTCGTAGCGACCCAAGAGAGCCTGATGGTTTGCTACTTGTAGCAGAAAGCTTGAGGAAGAATAAACTTTTCTCCTGAAAGTATCCAGCCTCCGAGAGTCTTTGTTCTTGGGGGTTGGAGCTCGTTGCCCCTGCCTCTCCCTGTGGTTGACTGACTCGACCACCAAGGAGTTGGGCGCTGGGTGGGTATACAGATACTCGTGTCCCTTCGTGGGTACAAAGTACTTGCACTCCGCCTTTTTGGAGATGGGAGCCAACGAGGCTGGTGTTTGCCACAGGACACTTGAAATTCTTGCCACCCATTCATGGAGTGGCAAGGCCACCCTGCCCGGTGCTGAAGGGGACAGCACATTGAACATGGAGTCTGAGGGCTCTTCCATCTTCTCAGCTTGGAGGTGGAGACTTGCTGCCACCCTTTTTAGGAGGTCTTGGTGGGCCCGGTAATCCTCCTGCGGCATGGAGAGGGGCGAGGACGTAATCAGATCCTCCGGACAGGGAGAGACCGGTGTGGTGCTTTGGGTGTTGTCCGGCACCGGAGGATCCACCACCTGGTTGGACTCCGGGCACAGTACAGAGGACACAGGTCCCACTGACCTTTTTCTGGTGGTTTAAGCATGGATGCCGACGGTGCTTCCGAGGCCCCGGCCACCAAGCGAGCCTGCACCGGGGGCTGCGCCGGAGGCCATGGTGCCCACTGGTACCACTGGGCCTGCTCTGAAGGGGCCTGGCTACTCCGCTCAACGTGAGTGGGAGGCCTAGGGCCCAATGAGGATCGAGGACTACCTGACATGGGCCTACCCTCTGTCCCAGACTTCCCTCGGTGCCGTTACAAAGAGGGAGTCTTTCCGGTCCTCTTGGCATGCCCCGTGGTGGGGAGTGGTGCTGACTAGACGATGGTCCCGGAGGGTCTCCGCGTACTGACGCCGCTATACTGGGTACCTTCAGAGCGGCGTGCCGGGGTTGGGGCCAGCGCTGACTCCATCAGGGTGGCCCGGAGCCTAATGTCCCTTTCTTTTTTAGTCCGGGGCTTGAAAGACTTGCAGATCTTGCACCTTTCGCTGATATGGGTTTCTCCCAAACAGCACAGACAATGTGCATGAAGGTTGCTCCTTGGCATAGAGCGCCTACAAAAGCAGCACGACTTAAAGGCTGGGGAGCGGGGCATGCCCTGGCCTGGGCTCAATGACTAATTAAACTAACTGAATTAGCTAACTGACTACAGGTACTACTGAACAAATGAAGAGTTCTGGGGATGAGCTACAGCAAAGCTGGAGCAGAGCAGTTCCGATGCACCTTCACTGGCAGCAAGAAGGAACTGAGGGTGAGGGAAGCGCAGCCCCCCTTATACCATGCCAGGCAGGCGTCACTCCAGGGGTTGTGGGGGGGCGCTCTCCCCCATGGGTGGTCCTAGGGGAAAAGCTTCCAGCACCGGTGCACATGGCAAGCACACACACCTATTGTGGAATACACATGAGCAATCACTTGAAGATGAACTCCTTTGTGCCACTGGATTTTGGTTCAGCACTCCCCCGCACCCCCTCTTTTTTTTTTGGTAAACTGCATGAAAGAAAGCTATTAGAAGTAGTTACTTTACATATTACGGATTACATTTTTTAAAGAGAGAGTACTGTATACGTTAAATTTACCTTTACTACTTGGTCTTCAAAAACTGCTATTTTGCCATCAGCTGTTCCCACCAGAAAAAAATTCTTCTGTTTGCTGAAATGAAATGATAAATTCCAGAATTGCCTCATGAAAGGACGTTCATTAAAGAAGATTTAAAAACAGAAGTGTCTGGCAGATCAGGGGTTTTATTGGTCACTAAAAGTGAACACAGGGCCACATGTCCAAAAATAAGCACTTAAGCTCTGCCTGAGAGCAAGTTAACACATGTGCAAAGTATGTAGCTGCAGGCACAATACAGATGTCTGCATGTACAACCACCCATTTTGTTAATATTGCTGTGACGTCAGATTTCAAAATGTAGCCCGTAGTACACTCTAAATTATACCTTTGCTTTGAAAAAAAGTTGCTGTATAAACAGGTAACAGAATCGGACATTTTCTGAAGATGGTGTTTGTTTTTTCCATCTTCTGTATTAAATGCCCACAGAGAACCAAACTGGGTTCCTGCCAAAATCCAGTTTTCTTTCTCTGTAGGAAGAGTCACTAAAGCCAAACACAAGATTCTTCCATCTGCAATGTCCTGTGTCAAGAAAAAATAATTAAAAGCAGCCTGGTTATTTTTCAGCGAGGATTACATGAGTGAATTACATAAAGTAAAAACAGTAGGCCCTTCTGGGAAGATGGCCTTTCTTCCCAATGGAAAGAAATCCCCAATTAGCAGAAGATACTTTCATCTTTTCCTCTGGCAACCTCTGGCATTCAGATAAATGAAATAAATGATTCAGAAATAGCGATGATCCATGGCAGGCTGATGCCATGCCTGTCCTTTTAAGAATGCACCATCTGTCTGCCCAATGCTGTGAGAAGGCCAGCATGGTGATCTAACACATTAATTAACTAACTACCAGGAACACATACATTCTCAGCATATAGCAGCTAATGATCCGAAAGCTGTTGTTAGAGAAGCAAAGAAATGGAACTGCACTTATGTTACTTTCTGTGGCACAGTTTAATTGATGGAAATAAAGCAGAGATCTAAAATATTTCATTTTAAAATATCCCCCCCTTCCCCAGAAAGCAGCAGTTTCAAATGTAACACAGTATCTGCTATTTCATGCCTGTGGCTCACTACGGTCTATTGTGTCACAGAAACCTTCTTTTAACGTGCTCTGTGAGGAGCTATATCCTGTGCTGGCAGTGAAACACATGTGCAACTTTGCGTACCTAGCCTGGGTAATCCATCTTCCAGTTTACAAATCTGCTTCTTGTGACAATACTGAATATGGGAACTCCAGAAACTAAATGTTGACGTTTGGTGGGTGCATTCCACAGCAGCGAGAGTCTCTTGGGAGGAGTGGGAATTACAAGAAGTTGTGTTGGGCTGCAGGATTATCAGGACTATTGGTCTGTGTTCTGACCTCAGTGCAAAAAGGCTGAGGGTTGGCATACAGCCAGCCCACTGGAAGAAATACATACATTGGTGGTAAGACAATATTGTGAGGGGTGTTGGATGGACAGGAGGGAGAGTAAGATGATCACAGAACCATAGAAATGTGGAGCTGGAAGGGACCTTGAGAGATCATCGAGTCCTTTTCCCCGGGGCCTTTCCCCTGCTCTATATTCCATAAGCTAAACAGCTTCACCTGTCAAGAAGTCTCATGATACTCGTATTAAATTCCACTTTACTCAGTTCCATCCCATGACTTCTAGCTATGCCCCTCCCTGAGACACCCTCAGTAATTGCTCTTAAAAAAAGAAGCATTTCTGTGGCCCTTTTGGTCTGAGGATCTCAAAGCACTTTTCAGACATAGGGAATTAAGCCTCAAAGTCCCCACCTCCCTGTCAGTACAGTAACTATCAATTCTAATGTTTTATAGTTTCATAAGGTAAGTCTACACAGCAAAAAACAACAACAAAAACAGACCAGTGGCAGCTGTTTTGCTTCATCTCATGGTATCAGTGCTGATTCTTATATCAAATGCCTTTGGAATTCTTGGCCATGAGACGTAGCTGATATAGCTGTACAGCATGAAAGCAGTCAAAGCTGGGATCTAGGCTTTCCAGAAGCTATACCCTACTGTTAAAATGCATTTAATATGTAAATATAGAAACATCAGATCTATCAATGCCAAGGAGTTAGTAATAAATGACAACTTCACACCTACCTCACAAGTATGGCCATCTGTATTTAAGTCAATAAATGAAACCTGTCCTTTTTTTGTATTTCCAGTACCGATCCAGACCCCTGCCTTCTTGCAGCTTTGATTAGCTGCAACCATGCACTCTGCTGCAAAGGCACTACGTATTGAAATGTGTCTCATCAAACAGATAAGCTTTGCGGAGTTCAAAATATCATAAACCTGTAAAGGACACCACAAGATAACAGACTGTAAATTAACAGATAGCACTTTTCATTCTGAAGGATAACAAAGTACAAGGTATGTACACAGTATCACAGCATGCAATAGTCACTCATGTACTGCAGGTACAGTGTCACTATGCACTACATTACTGTTTTTCAGGGGGAAGTAAAGAATACATTTTCCCAATTGAAACTACAGGACAATGTCAATGTGACTTAGTCTCCTAAGTCACTTAAGGCACTTTTGAAAATCTTACCCAATATCACAGAGCAAGGTAGTATTGTGATAGAAGACACACTATGGTAGCTTTTAGAGCCATACCATTATAGAAGATGTACGGAGTGGTGTAGATTAACTGCATCCACAATTTTATAACTAGTTCTTGTTGTGTAATGTTAATTGAAAATGTCTATCTGGCATGAATCCTATGTGGCTAGCATATAAGAGTATTAATCACCAAGTAATGAAGTGGCAGAAACATGACTGGATGATTCATGGCAAAATATAAAAGAAAATGGCCGATTTGTATTTTGCACAAATGTTTCTGTTCAAACTAGGGAGGAGAAAATATTGTACTTCTTAGGAAGGGTTTATCTACACAGTGCACTAGTCCGAACCACTGGGGTGTAAATTCTAGTGCACTGGTATGTAACACACTAACTGGCCCCCATGGACCCAGAAGTTCCGTAGCGCATGTTAATGTAGTCCTGTTTGACACGGGACTACATAATACCCATTATGGAACTTTTAGTGCAGGGTCTATGTGGGCCAGTTAGTATGCAACTTGCTAGAATGGGCTAGAATATACACCCCTCTGGTGCAGACTATGCCAGAGGTTTACACTGCATAGACAAGTCCTAACTTAAATTCACCACTTCCTCTTGAATTGGTAGAGCATAATAAGTCAACGGCAGATGCTAAACTAGAAATTGTATAATACAACCACAAACTACCTGGGCCGATGTAGGTCTTTCCTGAGGGTTTTCTTTCAAACACTTGCTGATTAAACTTTCAACTTCAGGCCAGGGGGCACACCCATATTCTTTGACAGGATCTAAAATATACATTTTGTGCTGCCAATTAGATAATTGCCTAA